TCATCCCCCCTCCTCCCTTCCCATTCTCCCCTCATACCCCCTCCCCCTCTCCCCCCTTTCCCCTTCTCCCCCCATACCCCCTTTCCTCATCTGCCCCCCTCTTTCCCCCTTCTCTCCCCATACCCCCTTTCCTCTCCCCCCTTCCCCTTCTCCCCTCACACCCCCTTTCCTCATCTTCTCCCCTCCTTTCCCCTTCTCTCCCAAAACCTACATGGTAAACGGGGAATCGTTGGTAATGTTGTGCCGCTTCTCCCTCACTTTATCTCCTCTTCTCCCCTCTTCACCCTCTCTTTATCCCCTCTACATCCTCTCCTCTTCCTTTTCTCCCCTCATTCCCCTTCCCCTTCTCCCCTCACAACCCCTTTCCTCATCTCCCCCCCTCTTTTCCCCCTCCTCTCCCAAAACCTACATGGTAAACGGGGATTCGTTGGTGATGTTGTGCCGCTTCTGTCCCGGCTCGAGGTCGTCGGGGCAGAGGTCGTGGTCGCGGCAGCAGGCGTCCACCTCCTTCAGCGTGCCGAGGTCGTCCAGCCCTTCTGCCACGTTGCCGGTGCCGCACCACTTGGTTCCTGAGGGAGGGAGAGGGTCAGAAGGGGCGGGGGGGGGGGAGTGGAGTGGGAGGGGATGAGAGGGAATGTGAAGTGAGGGATGAAGAGAAGGGGAGAGAGAGAGAGAGAGAGAGAGAGAGAAGAGAGAGAGAGAGAGAGAGAGAGAGAGAGAGAGAGAGAGAGAGAGAGAGAGAGAGAGAGAGAGAGAGAGAGAGAGAGGGAGAGAGAGAATATATATATATATATATATATATATATATATATATATATATATATATATATATATATATATATATATATATGTATGTATATATATATATATATATATATATATATATATATATATATATATATATATATATATAGAGAGAGAGAGAGAGAGAGAGAGAGAGAGAGAGAGAGAGAGAGAGAGAGAGAGAGAGGGAGAGAGAGAATATATATATATATATATATATATATATATATATATATATATATATATATATATATATATATATGTATGTATATATATATATATATATATATATATATATATATATATATATATATATATATATATATATATATATATAGAGAGAGAGAGAGAGAGAGAGAGAGAGAGAGAGAGAGAGAGAGAGAGAGAGAGAGAGAGAGGGAGAGAGAAAGAGACAGAGAAAGAAAGAAAGAGAGAGAGAGCGAGAACGAGGGAGAGAAGAAAAAAGAGATTAAAGAGACAGAAAGAGTGAAAAAAGAGAAAGAGTAACGAGACAGAGAAATAAAGAGAAAGCGACAAAGAGAGAGAGAGAGAGAGAGAGAGAGAGAGAGAGAGAGAGAGAGAGAGAGAGAGAGAGAGAGAGAGAGAGAGAGAGAGAGAGAGAGAGAGAGAAAGAGAGAGAGAGATAAAAGAGAAGAAAGAGAAAGAGAAAGAGACAAAGAAATAGAGAGAGAGAGAGAAAAAAGAGACGAAAGAGAAAGAGACAAAGAAATAAAAAGAGAAAGAGAAAAGAAAAAGAGAAAGAAAAAGAGGACAAGAACATGTGTGCGCGTGATGGTCGTCGTGAGCGCGAAGGGGAGGAGGGCGATCCAGCCAAACTTGCAAATGAAGGCAATTCTGCATTTATTACCTTGATTCAATTTATTCCACGGTGCGGTCTGGGTAATGACATTGGAAAATATTCAGATTCCATCCCGCGTCGAACTGTAAGTAAGTTGCCTGATTAGTTCCCTTTTTGGCGAGTTAGTTAAAGGCTTTGCGATTTTTTATTTTCCATTCTTTCTTTCTTTCTACTTTTTTTTCTTCTGAATGACAAAAGAAAGAAAAGGGAAAGAGAGAGAGAGAGAAAGAGAAAGAGAAAGAGAGAGAGAGAGAGAGAGAGAGAGAGAGAGAGAGAGAGAGAGAGAGAGAGAGAGAGAGAGAGAGAGAGAGAGAGAGAGAGAGAGAGAGAGAGAGAGAGTGAGAGAAAGAGGGAGAGAAAGAGAGTGAGAAGAGAGAGAGAGAGAGAGAGAGAGAGAGAGAGAGAGAGAGAGAGAGAGAGAGAGAGAGAGAGAGAGAGAGAAGAGAGAGAGAGAAGAGAGAGAAAGAGAGAGAAGAGAGAGAGAGAGAGAGAGAGAGAGAGAGAGAGAGAGAGAGAGAGAGAGAAGAGGAGAGAGAAGAGAGAGAAAGAGAGAGAAGAGAGAGAGAGAGAGAGAGAGAGAGAGAGAGAGAGAGAGAGAGAGAGAGAGAGAGAGAGAGAGAGAGAGAAAATAACAATGAGATACGAGGATCTATTCCAAATTTTAAACCAGCTGCATCTTGACAGCAAAGACCTTAGAATTCTTCAAAATCTATATTGGGAACAAGAAGCCACAATAAAGATAGACGGAGAATGCACAAAGTACACCAACATCAAGAGAGGATTCAGGCAGGGCTTTGTTTTATCGCCCGATTTATTCAGCATCTACAGTGAAATGATTTTAAGAAATATCGAAGACAT